ATATTGACGAGGGAGCTCAGACAGCAACAAAGCCCTAAATGCAGTTGACTGTGGAGTCCCTGCTGGCTCTGTCTTTGTGAGGAGATGACACTGCACCCATCCCCCTGCTACTTATAGGGACATTATCATAATGTTGGCTCTGTTTGAGATGAGCTATGAGAAGTGGGCTCATCTTGAAGTCCTCCGCATGCCTGGTGCATGCTGAGGGAGGACAGTGCTGAACGGGGGTTGATGCCCTAATGGAAATTCAGCCTGACAGTTCTTGCATGTAACAAAGCAGCACAGGACTGACAGCGCCGATTTGATGGATCTGAACATTGCTTGTAAACACACCGCAGCACGGAGGATAAAGACCGTCCGTCTGCTGTCCCTCTGTTTCCTCATTGTCTTGTCACCGCAGACATCTGAGAGGAATGAAGAGGACAAAGTGAGCGACAGTGCAGAACACGGTTGAGTGTCGTGCAGTCGAGTTTCATAAATGTGGGTTTAAATCCCAGCTTACGTGCTGTCACTCTGTATGCAGACCCAGAAAGAGCAATGGCTTCAATGTGTTGGCATCTATTAGACCACTGAAAAAGGAATAATAAGTTCATAGAATCAGATGATGTTTGTCAGAGCTTGTGTGAACCTTCACACCTCACACATCCACCCTGCAACATCCTGTTGTGTTAGAGCCCTGCCTGTGGTCAAATACAGCTGCATATCTCTCTCTCTCTCTTTATTTCTGAGTGTGTGTGTGCGTGCGTGTGTGAAAGAGTCAGAAAGAGAAACGAGGAAAACTCCCCAGATGAGAGAACATTGCCACTTCCCCCTGTGAGTGAAACGAAGACAGAAACATGCAGCAGGTGCATGAAACACAATGCTGAATCATTCATGGCTTATATGTCCAACAATGGGGTCAAAGTTTTGTTTAAAATTTTTATAACTGCATATGCCTCTTAAAAACATCAAAAATCTGATAAATATGATAGAGAAAGCATTAAAACATATGTAAAAACAGTTTGTTTTGCAAAGGAACAATCTGAAGCTATGGTTGCAAACACTTTTTTGAGGATGTCAATGTGATGTACCTAGTTCAAGGATTGCAGGGGGTAAAAACAAGTCTGTGTCAGACTGCAATAAAGAGAAATTGCAAGAAATGTGAAGTAAAGCGTTATAATATCTGTCATGGTACGCACTCGAACAACTTCCTCTTTGAATAATCATAGCTGTAAGGTACCATGTCGGAAGCACCCACACGCCACACACCCGTGCACACACACTTTGAAAAAACAAACAAACAAAAAAAAAAAGACATCTGGCCTGCATTTGTTGTTTACTGTACATTGTGTGAACACTGTCCCATCTAAAGCAGCTTCCCAGCAGGATGTGGTGGCGCGACACGTCCTCGCTCAACAACAACCACTTCCTATGAGTTTGATAAACAGTGTCGTGGTTTCACTCTCCTCCTGCCCTGTCGTACATGGGGGAGTACACATAGCACACCTCAGCTCAACAGCGCCACCATCTGCTCATAAGACCAGAAGAAGAGAGCCTGGTAAGTTCAAATGCCCTTTGAACTTTATCAGATTTGGCCACAAATTTGTACGTATTCCTGTGGATTTTACATGATACACCAACACTGAGCAGGGTGGGACTGTGAACTGAAAAACGAGAACAGAGCCTGCAGACAATGAAAAAAAGAAGATGTGTTAATTGGTCACAAGTAATTTAATAAAGGTTCTCAAATTCAGCTGACTAACTTTGTTAAACTTAATTTGATTACTGACCAATTACTGCAATGTTTTTTAAGTTTAATCACGGTTTTCACAATTTCTGTTCTTTTGTGCGTTTGCTATCCAGCCCTCAGGGGTATCTAAGTAAAGAGGGATGAACACAAATGCATGCCACTCTTCTCAGATTATTGGACAACAACAGCCTCATGTCAATTAACAATCAGAGGAAAGCAATATGTCACATTTATCTTAAATCTAAAAGGATCTGAGTTGCAGCCATTGCAGAATAGCAACATTACACTTCAGTTCAGTCTCTGTTTCTGAAGGTTGATGATTTGGTGGCAGAAAAGACGGTAGTGCTGCTTCTCTCTTCTTCTTTTTTTCCTTCCCGTCTTCTCTTCTCGGTTGCATGGGCACATACTGTCAGTCACATCTGTGAGCTGTCAGACCCAGAACATGCATACATCTGAAGCGGGGTGGAGGGAAGAGGGGTGCATTAGGCATGCTGATCCTTCACACTCCCCTTGTCAAACTTAACATTGAAATGAAAGTCAGTGGTGAGTGTTTAGAAAGTGTGCGTGTGCAGGGTGTGTTTGTGTGAGTATGTGAGGCAGGAGACAAGTAGGGTCAAAGGAGAGGAGGCATGCCTAATCCTGTGGGATGTGGTGGTATTTTACTGTGAATGGGGATGGGATGTAGAGATGTGCTCAGCGGTGCATGGATCACAAAAACTTCCTAACTGACAGAACGGAGTCCTGGGGGACCATTGTCAAAACTGGTGAAAGGAAAGAAATGACAGCAAAAAGGCAAACTATCAGCTACATGATTCCATTATACAAGTAAAATGATTGAGAACTGGACAGGAAAATGTTTTAATTGACATTTAAGTTGCTTTGTATGAACAGACGTAAAGTTTCAATTTTCAAGAAATTTCCTTATATATTTCACAAACATCGATCTACCATGTCATCCATCCATCCAGTTTCTCTTCCTGCCTCATGTAAGGTCAAAGGGGGCTGGGTGCCTAAATGCAGGAGGCAGGGGCATTGCAAAAAGAGCAAATCTCAGAGTTTCGGTTTATGCTGGATCTTTAAAAAGAGATCGAAAGACTTATATAATAGTCTAAGACCACTATATGCACATTAAAATGGACTATAGCATTGCCTGGCATTAAGTACTGGTGTGATGGAAGACCAGGGCTCCATCCTTAATGATTATTGATATTGTATTTATTTACAGAACAAATGCTTTTTTGTTTCAGTTCTTTATTTCAGTTTCATTTGCATTTATTTAAACATTCTTTCAGGCAGAGGGATTGGCCATCCTTCCTGGACAGGGGGAATGTGGGAAAATGTTAGTTTGTTTCAATTTGAAGTTAATTGTTTGAGTCTCACCTTTTGGTTTGTCTCCTCAGCAGGGTGGAGCAGCAAAGGCAGACTACTGCTCCAGGTGCTGTTAAAAAGCTCCTGGAGCATTTTCAATTAAGAGGGGTAATGCTCTGAAGAGTTATATTAAGTTACATTTAATCTTTGATTGACCTGAGATTAGTTTAGTTCTAATAATTTGCATGCATGTAAATATTTATTGGTATATTTTATTGTTTTGTGTTAGCCACTGTGTTTATCTGAAGATATCTCCCATAATCTTCTTCAACACAGAGGAACAACAGCCAAATATCACACTGAAATTTCTGACCAGTATGTGAAACTCTGTGTAGGGTGGAAAACTAACTCTATGTCACACCTTGAACACATCACCCTCTCTGTGAAACATGGTAATGGCAGCACATGCTGTGGGAATGCTACTCTTCAGCAGGGAAAGGGAAGTTGGTGAGAAGATTTACCTTTTCTTCTGTCCTTTGTAAGGAAAGGGTAGAGTTTGTACCACAGTCTCACACATAAAGTCCCTGAATTCATCTTTGCAAAACTTTGAAATTATTCTTCAATCACAACACACACTCGTTAGAGTGATGCTGCAAAAACCCACCACCACTCAAACTCTTGAACACGAACCGGTCGTCCAGAAAATAATGGATGAGGCCAAGTCAAATAAAAACATCATAGGAGATTTCCACATTACGAAAGAAAGCGGATGGGGAGGATAACAACAGTGACTGTAATGACAAGAAATTTCTGATAAAAATTACAGTAATAGAAATAAATGGGCCATGTCCAGAGCCGGTAGGACTGCGTGTCCAAAACTAAACAAGCAGCACTATAGGCCTTGATAATCAGGGTGTGCAGAGAAGAAAATGGAAAAAACATCACATCTTGGCTTCCAAAAGATGTAGGGTGTATTATTAAGTACACTCAAAAGAAACCATTTTCACTTGTAGCCTGACTTTAAACACGACTTTGACCCAGAAACTGACATTACTCACAAAAGGTAAACTAAAAAAACTCTAGCAAAAATTAGAAATAAAACCGTGTAACATTAGGTTACAACAGTGAGTAATTGTCCTTTGGTCAGAGTAATTAATCACAGCATCAAACAAAATAAAACTAAATAAATTAAGAAAAGTTAAGATGCCGCTAAAAAGTCAACACAAATGTATTTTTCTTTTCTTTTTTTTTTAAGTTTGGTTGCCCATTAGATTCTAATAGGTTGTTGTTACATGAGTACCCAGTTTGGTTGGTTGGTCTGCTACTTCTTTAGATGGTTTCTGAAATGTTCTGTGTAATTTTATATAGACAGAGCACTCCATTCTAAATCATATTTAGTTAATTGCATTTGTCACCGATGGACTCATTTCAAGTAAAGTAGAACTGAGGAACCACAGCCCAAGAGATATATAAACAATAGGGAGACTTTCAAATTCTGTTGCTTGGGAGAAGAAAAACCACAAGCAAATTAACAGACAATGTCAGTGTATTAATCACACTATTAAAAATGATATTAACGTTAAGATTTGTTTTCCCCTGACATTCTCAGTTCATCTTCTAAGCTATAATAGTTGAAGGAAGTTAAAGTGTCATGTCTTTTAGATGCAGTATGTGCAGAACTTCACTGCAACAAAGGTTACATGCATGAACATGGTCAACATGATGAAAATATATGTTCACAAAATACAATATTTTCTGACAAAAACAATACTTTATTTTCCAAAAGATGTTGAATTTTACTGTGACTATGAGAACTGTTGTTTCAATGACATCCTTCAAAAACTAAAGTCACTTGATATCAACTTCTAACTGATTGTATGACAAATACAACCAGCAGGTGGCGCAGTTGAGAGCTTTAAACAGCCCGTGTTAACCCGGCAGAAGAAGAAACCAGCGGCGGACCTTTAATAGGACAGGAAGTGCGTGTTGATGAGGCGGCGAGGCTGTTAGCCGTCATTATGGCGCTTGACGTGAAAACCAGAGCAAAACGATACGAGAAGCTGGACTTCCTCGGCGAGGGTCAGGTAGGAAGACGAACAATGTATCAGTTCGGACATTATCTCACAGGTTTATTGCTTTCCATGCTGCTTTACTGGGTTAAAAAGGAGCATGATGGCAATCCTTAGCTGGTTGCTAATGTCAACAAAGCCCTGCTGCTCCTTTTCTGTTTCCGCTCTGCAGTTCGCCACGGTGTACAAAGCCAGAGATAAAGTGACTGACACGATCGTTGCGATTAAAAAGGTACAATCACACCCTGCGCTGTTCAACTTCTGCAGAAATTTCAGCTTAATAACATCAGACGTGTTTTCATTCTTCTCTCAGATTAAGGTCGGACACAGAACTGAGGCCAAAGATGGTGAGTTGTGGGCTGCAGTAATGTTCTCCAGCGCTGAGCTCATTCTGCAGGTTATTTCACTGCAGGTTTGTTCTTGCAGGTATAAACCGGACTGCTCTCAGGGAGATCAAATTACTCCAGGAGCTGCATCATCCAAATATCATCGGAGTAGGAAACATTTTGTTTTTCAGTCAGAGTAGATGTGTCCACACATTTGAGGTGTGCTGGTAAATGTTTTTTTTTTTTGTCTTTAATTTATTGTCCTGTAGCTGTTGGATGCATTTGGACATAAATCAAACATAAGCTTGGTGTTTGACTACATGGAAACAGACCTGGAGGTGAGTCTTGTCTCATTTGTGACTATTTTGTTCTTTTAAATTAATTAAAGACAATTAGAGAAATTGCTTTAATTTTTTGTTCTTAGCAAGAGGATTATGTTTAATATTTCTGCTAATCTACGTTGGATATTTAAATACATGTCTAGTTATTTCAACACAAGATGCATCAAGGTGGGAAGGAATCTCTTTCAGTTTTCCACATTTATTGCAAAGTATTGGACAGTATACCATCATATATTAGCCTTAATTTAAAACAGAGTAGTGTTAACCCAGATGTTGCTTATAGTTTATAAAATGTAGATTTAAAACAGAATTATGTTAATAAGAATGATGGTTGTCACTCCTTGAGATTCACACCTGGACTGCACACGATTTTGTCCCTGAAGGATTTCTGAACAGTCTCAGTCTTTCAGCCAGCTGACCAACAGTGCTCTGGATGAGGGTACTCTACACTCCACCTACCTAGAAAAACACCAGCGTGGAAACACTATGATATGAAACAGTTTTAAGATGTAACATGCACAAAACAGAGTGTTTTTGTGAAGGAAAATAATTTAAACCTACACGTCTGCCAGTGAAAAAAAGTCATTATCCATAAACCTAATAACTGGTTAGTCCAGCCTTAGCAGCAACAACTGCAATCAAGCGATTGCAATGACTGGCTGTGAGTCTTGTGGTGAAGAAATTTTGAATTGAGACCAGATGTTGCAGTGGAGTCACGTCTGTGTTAAAGTTTGCAAAAGAACTTCAAGTTCTATTTTACTCTTTCATGAAAAAAACACCTAAATGTTTCAATTATGTGAAGAGCTTTTATGTCTGTTTCCTCCTCATTGTAAAAGGATGGAAACATTGGTTGTAAGATTAGATCACATTTAAGATAAGAGTAGCAATTAAAACATAAGTGTGATGATAAAGACCACAGCCATGAATACACCTTGGCTTTTTTACTTTCAGTCCTCCATTAACCTTTTTTTTTGTAACAAGGCTCCAGATGGGAGGTGATCACTAATGCATTTAGACTTTAAGTGAGGGAGGCTCTGTTTGAAAGAAAATCAATATCACTCCGGTCTGGGCTCTGGAAATAAATTCATGCCATTAGCGGCCGGTGGGCAGAAGACGGTGAGGAGAAGGGAGGCTGAAGTACGATGCTCCATGTTTTTCACTAAAGCTAATGGACTTTTTCAGCAGCATATATCCTCACTGTTATTTTTAAATTGCTGATACAATTATACAACTGGCTAGAATAACAATCGCTCTGAGAATAGATGTACCTGTGGAGGGTTAGGTTGGTGTAAAGGTAAACTTGAACCGTTGTTTTTTTTTTTTTGTCCTCAAACTTATTTCCTTCAGGTTTTACTTTGTTTTTCTGTCTCTTTTTTGGTGATCATTCATTCAGATTCAGCTCTGCTTTTGATTTATGGGTTATTTATTTGCTGTTTGTTTTTCAGGTCATCATCAAAGACACCAGCCTTGTCTTAACTCCAGCCCACATTAAAGCCTATGTCCTCATGACATTACAAGGATTGGAGTACATGCACCAACACTGGGTCCTGCACAGAGTAAGAAACCAGAAACAGCCTTATCAAAAGCACATGTTTGACCCTGTGTGTATTTACTGTTTTTTTTTTGTTTGTTTGCTTGCTTTCATCTCCAGGATCTGAAGCCCAATAATCTGCTGTTAGATGGGAACGGAGTGTTGAAGTTGGCTGATTTTGGTTTGGCCAAAGCTTTTGGCAGCCCCAACAGAGTCTACACACATCAAGTTGTTACCAGGTCAGAGATATTGTGCTAATACACAAAGAACAACTAAAAGTCACATTTCAGGGATCTTTTTTTTTTCCTCAGAAAAAATCATGTATCACAGATTTTCAGTTGTATTTGGGTCTAGACTTTGACTAGGTCATGAATGTACTTCCATCTGAATAATTCGGTTGTGGCTCTGCTAAATATTTAGGGTTGTTATCCTTCTCGAAGGTGAACCTCTGTCTTGCTTCAAGTCCTTTTGCATCCTTGATGTCATATCTAGTCTCATCAGCTCTGATCAGCTTCCCTGCTGAACAAAGTATTCCCCCAGCATGATGCTGCTGCCTCCATGTTTCACCATAGGGGTGGTGTGTCCAGTTTGATTTGTGGTTTTGGTCTTATCTAGGCAGATTTACTATTTTCCTCAACTGACATAACAAATTTCAAGTCTGACTTCTGGGAATACTTTGCTTTTCCAATTATTGCATCCTAAATTTGATAGTTCTGAAATGTAATCTTATTTTTTTTTTTTACTTTTCTCTTCCCCAGGTGGTACCGTTCTCCTGAGCTCCTGTTTGGTGCCAGGATGTACGGTGTGGGCGTAGACATGTGGGCTGTGGGATGCATCCTGGCCGAGTTACTACTTCGGGTAGAGAATCCTCCCTTCACTTGATTTTTAATTATTGTTTTTAAAAAACCTATTCTGATTATCTTCTCTGCTGCAGATACCGTTTCTTGCTGGAGACTCAGATCTTGACCAGCTGACTAAAATCTTTGAAGCTCTTGGGACTCCCACAGAAGAGACGTGGCCTGTCCGTATCCGTTCTTTTACATTTTTCTTTTATTTGAAGTGTGAGAGCTTCAACATTTGTTTGTTGGATCTCCCTGCAGGGGATGACGAGCCTACCAGATTATGTCTCCTTCAAGATATTTCCTGGCACCCCTCTGGAGCATATATTTAGTGCGGCTGGAGACGATTTACTCGAGCTCCTGCAAGGTCTCTTCACCTTTAACCCATCAACGAGAACAACGGCCACACAGGTAAAGAAAAAATACTCATGCAAATTAACTCTTCTCACTTGCAAACCTGGGGGGATAGTCTTTATAAAAAGAAGCTGTACAAGTTGTAACATATTTCTTTCTCTCAACTAAAATAACTCTTTCCCCTCTCACGTGTAAGGAAATTGATACGTTTTAAAATAAAATGTTTTCCTGTTTCTCTCTCCATTTTCTAGAATAAAACTAACTACTAATGTGATTAATAATAGTAAAAAGCAAACCAAAAGAATCCTCCTTATGGGAGGTTTTCACTCAATTATCAGTTTATTAATTCATGCAGTTTCCCACCTCATGTTTTCAGTAGAGGTCTGGAAATCTGAGAATCTATGCCTGGCTCAGATGAACAATATTGTAACTCTTCAGTTAGAATATTAATAAAGATTAAGCATGGAGCACAGCAGAGAGCTCCATCCCTTTTTCTAAACTCCTTTGCATGTCTGAACTCGTCCCTGAAGTCCAGCAGAACTCCGTCTCCTACAGCTGTTTAGTTTGTTGCCAGATCAACTTAACAAGAAACATTTTGTGTAGACTGTCTCGTTCATGCAGACTGCTTTAACACTTTCAGACTGGATTTGTTTTACTGTGGCTCTAAGAGTTGGCTTGGCTCATCTGCCACCAGTGGCTGCCAGGTTTCTCAGACTGAAAATCCTTAAGCATCTACTTGTAGTTCATACAGCCACACTTAGACAGAGCTATTCATTTATTTTCTAAATTGTCTGTGTGTTGCTGCCTTTCTCCAGAGCTGACTGTGCTTTCCTCTTCTTCTCCAGGCTCTAAAGATGAGGTACTTCAGTAATCGCCCTGGTCCCACTCCTGGTGCCCAGCTTCCCCGACCCAACAGCTCAGTAGAGGTTCTGAGGGAGAAAGAAACAGTTGGACTCAAGAGGAAAATAGACGGCTTGGATAGAAGTAATTATAACTAATGTACTCCAGTATTTGCATTTTTACACCCACAAGTTGGGTTTAAGTTTATTTGCTGAAAATCTAACAACTTACTTGTGTTTCTTTATTTTTTAAAAAGAGCTTAACATTTTTTTGGGTCAGACCCTAAGACCTAATAAACCCTTGCACTTCTCACGGCCCACACACTGGTATATATCTAATGGACGCTGACATTGGAACTAGCAATTCAGTGGGTGTTGGCTGTAATTACAGCCTCAGTTAGAAATGCAGAATATTCTGAAGCTGAACATGCACATAAAGTTTAGTGGGAAGGTTTGTTTTAGTAGAGCAGAGTGTTGGTGTTTCTGGGAGGTTCAAAGCTTCTTGCAGCTCCTCCTCTGGTTTGGAAAATATCCGGGTTTGACTTCACGCTGTTTTCTGGAGCCTATATTACAGAGAGACTGTTGTAAGACTAATGATACAGTGTGGTGTTTTCTATATGTAGGAACATTATATGGATATGTTGTTCGTAACATAAAAATGTTTGTTTTTTCAGCTGTTATGAAGAAGAAGCTCATTTTCTGACCACAAGGAACCGGGTAAATCAGTCAAAATCCACCGATTTCTCCCAGGATGCAACAAGGATCTCCTCTGGACACAAATAAAAACCCATATTCAGCCGAGTCTGGCTCAGATGAGACTGGCTTTAGGACTTTTAGTATTTATACGAGGATCGTGACCTGAGGTTAGCTCCAGATGTGCGCTGCTGAACTCAAGACGTGTTTTCACTGATAAGCTGTGGAAGCCCATTAGAATATTTCTATTTGTTACTTAAGCAAACACAAGTCTTATTCATGTCATGAATGTTTTATTTTTTTAGATATTTCCAATAAAAGGTGTGAATGCATATCTGACATTTTGCATTCTGTTATTGCCACATGTATTTATTAATGTGTACTATGTTAATGATATGAGACATTTTAAAGCTTCTTGGCAGTATTTTGTAAAATCAAACTCATTTTAGAAAATGTTATTATTGGTATTGTTAATTTGTGAATCATTTAGTCCAGCTTTAATCTTCTTTCTTAAAATTAGCTCCATATACATCCCCACTGTAACATCACATAAGACATAAAGCAAGATTTCTCTTTAGTAGCATTTTTTTATTTGCACATTTCCATTTTCTGTTTCATTTCAGACAACAGCTGCCTAAATTCACAAAGTTTTAGCGTAGCCTCATCAACTGATTATCTGATTCGTGTGTTGCAGAAAAAGTCTTAGTGACGAATGTCTTCAGATAGTCAAAATAAAGGGTTGGCTTTTTATGGCAGCAAACACTGAAGTGTGTGTGGGAATGAGTCATCTGACGGCTTTTGGCAAACAGCAACACATGGAGCTACATTGGCAGCTTTATCAGTGTTGGCCATGTCAGGGAGGCTTCACAAGCTGGCAACTTGTGGCAGCTGCAACATGACTCAGGCGAGACACCATAATGTGCCACAATCCAAGCAGACCTAAGGAAAGAGACTTAAAAGTTTGCATTTTTCTCTTATGTTTCTCAAACTGGGAGGTGTTATGTAAGCTCAACTTTTTTTGAGCTTTACATCATGTTGGAATGTTATTCCCTCATCAAAATCATAATGTTACTCCAGCTTCATCCATATTATAGATATCCTTGAAACTCCCGTACCAGCCTTTAGGGGATGCCTAAACGTTTATCCCACAAAGCGGCTGATCTTTCTACAAAGCTCGTCTTCAGCACCTCCACCAGACTAGCAACAGCAGCAGCGATTAACAAGCACCTGCTGAGCTTATCATGCATACCTCTGCTCAGTCCAACATAATAATGGAGGAGCGTTGTTGTGACAGTGCTAAAGGCAGAGTACCAGAAAGAGCAGCTTTTTTTTATAGAAACAGGCAAATTTCATGGTGTCAAAATGCTAAGTGGCATTTACTTTAGGTCATGTTTCATATGTAAGGCATTTTATAACAACTGAAGTTAATAGTGGGGTATAAAGTGGCCCTATGTGCTTGTAAATTACATAATGCCTTCCTGTAATGTAATAGTCTAAAAGTGAATGTCTTTCTAACTTTTGCCTTATCTTACAATTTTTTAAAACTAATGTTACCAACCTTAAACTGCTGTTCTGTTAAAAAAAAGAAGCTGAAATTGGCATCTTCCCTAAATAATTTCATAGGATAAGTGCAAAATGATAAGCGTTTCATGGGTCAAAAAGGTGACAATATTACCTTACAGCTAAAAAACAAAAAACAAAAAAAACATTAAACAGAAACTGGTTTACAAGAAGATGCAAAGTGACAGTAAAATGGGTCACCTTTGCGGTGAGATTCAACCACCTCTCGGTGCCGCCGGCTTTTGTGGGAGGAGATATGACGAGGAGGAGGAGGAGGAGGAAGGACGGAGGCAGCGGTCAGGGGCTTCACTGCGAACCAGGGAAGAACAGGCGCGTCGCTCCTCGTCTGCTGCTGCTGCGGCGGGTGGTTTCATGTTGAAGAGGAGGAAAACAGCCGTCCTTTCTCGTCCCAAAGCGGATTTCGGTGATTCCTCGGAGCAGGATGTGTACCCCGTGCTGCGTGTCGCAGGTGAGGAACAATAGACGGGCGGCTGCGGCGTTTCCAGCGCGCTCGCTCTTGTTTACGCTTCACGTCAGCGTTCATTTCAGCTCGACCTCAGCTACTGAGACTGTCTGTTTTTTTTCCCTCTCCTCGTGTCTCGTGGGGGATTTTATATATATATATATATATATATATATATATATATATATATATATATATATATATATATATATATATATATATGTTTTTTTTTGTCTCGTCAGTTTGTCCTGATTAACTCATAGCATGAAATACATACATAATTGACGCTCTGCATCCACTCAGCGGCGTCACTGTGAGGACAAAGCGAGCCGAGGCGAAACCAGCTGCTATCAGGACGAGCAGCAGGGCTTTTCAAAGCTCGCCGGCCGGTTCTCAACACATTCCTCTGGAAGCTGCCTATGAGTTTGAAACGGCTCTGCATTGTGGCTTTTAGTTGTGTCATCTTTTCAGCCATCTTCCACAACTTCACAGGAAGCTGCTGTTACTCTTTTAGGAGTGTAATGCTCGTTCAATTCGCTTATTCGCACTAAAGTCAAGGGGTAAAGACAGCGTAGGCGAAATAATAACGTCTGCATTTATATCACCAATCATTCCTTTCCTTTCAGATACCAAGTTTCGATTTCCTTTGTGCTCTGACCTTCTAATTTTTGCCAAGGCAGAAGATTACTCATAATATCTTTGCACGCATGTGTTTATATGATTGTGGCAAACTTAGAAAAAGTGTAAGTAGTACATTTTGTACTTGGATGTTTTTGTAAGCTGTAAACGGATAGAAACGTTTTTTTTTTCTTCACAATTAGATGTTCTGATTGTAGGTTGGAGCCCATATTGGCCAAGAGGTCCAATTATTGACCCTTAAAGTGTGTAGTGAAATATTTTATTCTGAAAACAAATTGTGCAGAATATATTGCAGTAAGCTGTGTGAAATTTATTTACATGTTGTCTGAGATAACTGCATTGTTAGATGAACCATTTCTTCTCCAGTAAATCTGATTGGACATTGAGTAAAAATCCAACTTGACTGAACTAGCTTTATTCTGAATTTCATAACAGCAAAGCAGTTATGATTATTCCTGCTATAGGAGGAATTGTGTTTGCATTTCAGCTGTGACAGCTGTGTTCACAAAAAGATCATGATCACATCTTGAATTGTCTTTGTCATTTTTATAGTAATTATCACCATAAATTATGATTTTTTTTAAAATCCCTTATTTGTAGGACATGTCAAGACATGTCCAGAGTTCACTGAGATTTAGAGAGGAGAGAGCAGGAAGGAAGAACAGATGACAGAGAAGATGCTGCATTATACATGATTTGTATTTTTTAAACATTGGCACCCTTTTGGAAATGTCTTTACTTTGATATTGTATTAATAATAATAATAAATAACTGATTGGAAGCATCAGGGTGAAACTGATGCTTCCAAATAATTGGAAGCATCAGCTAAAAATTAAAATAAAAATCAGCTAAAATAGGAAAACTTTACAGAACCTTTGATCAGAAACAGGCCACAAAATTCTGATCAGTTTGTCTTTTATTTGAACATTGAGATGCTCGTGCTAGTTTGGTATGACCTACATTTTACCTCCCTAGTTATTTTCTGTCGTCACAGTGTCTCCAATACTCTTTGGGATTTTTAGCATCTCGTCTCGTCCTCTAAAGTCGGCAGCAATCAAGAGCAGGAAAAGTTTTCCGATTGGTCAAAGACGTCACTGACCTGCAGAGTGGGACTGAATAACTCTTGAAATGCAATAGCCCTCTCAGATCCTTCATGATAGTGATATTCCAATGATTTGATTGTGCAGCTCTAATTTGTGATTGGATTAAAGTAATTGGGACATAATGCTATCCCCGAATTATGTGAAGAACCCTATAGTATTGGAAACACTTTGTTAAAGGATAAGCAGCGGACTTGTATACCAAGCCTGAGAGTGTTTTCTTTAATGCTTAGTGCCGTTTTTACAACAGCCAGACTGATACTGACCGCAGGGTCACTGCTGCTGCTGCGTTGGACTGGGCAGGAATTTAATTACACATTCACCCCTCATCTAAGGGGGAGCTTACTTCCATTTCCTGTGCCTTTCAAAGAGCCGGGATGACGGAAAAGGGGCAGGATTAGGAGAAAACGAAGGGCAAACAATAAGACCAGTTGAGAGTTACTGCACGGGGAGTGTACTAATCCCTGCCACAGACAGCCCATTTAGTCCGTCACCATCTATTTGTGTACTTCTAATTAACTTTTTTCTCCATGCTTATGTGCCACACTTGAAGTTTTGAGAGGCCCAGCCTGATGGGTGGTCCGGCAATTTCCGCATTGGATATTAGAGAAGGGCGAATGTTGTCCGGGATGGATTCGAAGTGAAAGAAGAAGTAATGGCGTAGAAGGAGATCTTTGAAATCTGTCACTGAGTTTAGCAATCTATGAAATGTTGGAGTTGCAACAGGACCCATGGATAAGCTGCAGCCTTATCTGGTGTCCAAAGCGCTGTGTTTGACGGGACGCAATGCAGCACACGTCTGTAAGCACTGTAAGTCAAAGGTGTAGTAGCCATGGGTCAGCCTTAGTAATTGGAAGAAAATTAAAGATTATTCTTTGAGACTCATGTTTTGCTATTCTGCTCCATCCTCCTTTCATCTCACACTTGTAAACAAACAATTATGTATTCATCTTCTTAATCACAGTGTATCATTTTATTTGTATTTTTAGAAAAGTCTAGCTTGCATATCTTATTTTTATTTCAGCTGTATCACATGCTAAAGTTTTCTCTTACACCATATTTCTTTTTTTGAATAGAACCCCCTATTTGTGCCTTCTTATAGATGGGAGGTTTTGATCCCTGCTGAAACAAAACAACAGAGCCAACCACCTGCACATAGACATTATAATGCATATAAGCATTTTTTAAAGGGTGAAAATTACTTTTCACCCTCAGCTGTAAAAGTCTGTACAAAATGTCTTGGTGGTGTCTATGAACTGAGGCATGAAGGGTGCAAGCCGTGCCATTGGAGTTGGCTTGTTTTGTCTTAAAGTGTCCTTAAATAAAACAAGTGTTTTTCACTTTTAAAACAGACCTCTGTTTTTGAGGACAAAACACATTTGCTCTTTTCCTGTCATCAAGGTGGTCAAAAGTAATTAAACCCACTTAATTTAAAGGTCCTTTATTACTAAATCTGACTCTTTAACAAAGAAAGAAAATATGTGGTGTTTAGTTTGCAGCTCTCTTTGAGGAAAAACTGACAAATATTTCAATTAGTTTTTGTGACGTAACAAAATCTGAAGAGTAATTTTCCTCAT